TACCTAGTTTAAAGTATTCTTTGTGCATTCTTATTTATTAACATGAAAACCGCATCAAAATCCGATCTGTACTTCCTGAGGAAATAAGAAAAATCATCAGGTAGCCGTGACGCTTATAATATCCCGTACGAGTGCTGAGCACACCTTGTCAGTACCACACGTATCATCGGGCAATTGGACTCGGACGGACTCAGCGCTTTGCAACGGACTCAGCGCTTCGCACGCCCGTTGATGGACTGTTGCAGTTAAGTGCACGCACAGAGGCGACAGAACTCACTCAAGTGTCGATGCGTTGATGCTTTAGCCTGCAAGGCTATCTCTGCAGTGCATTTTAACATCAAACGATTTCGACAATGAAACGATAATAATTCCAGTGGTAATGAATCGGAGGAAGATTCTGCTTGTTGACATATTATTATTTATTTATAAACAGAAAATTATTCTATTTTAATTCGCTATAAGGAATAAGGATTTAAGCCACTTTCTGTATTACACCAAATCAAACAATTTTTAAATTCCTTCTTTTGGCAATTTTAACTTAATTGAAGGTACCTATACTAAATATAATAAATATTCTACTAACAATTTATTAATTGATGCGATTTAGTAATATGTAGGGAGCTATTTTTAAAGCAGTTTCTTATAATATTATGAATCAACCCGGATTAAATAGTTAAGGTATTTGGTTAAACCTGAACGTTCAAAGACCTTTCCACTCTTCACTTAGCCTTTTACGTAATATTCGAAATACTAATACTAAGTTTTATCGGAAATTCCTGCATTATATTTAATTTTTACTTTAGTTTAATTGTAGGTACAAATACGGTTTATTAGTTAATGACCGAAAGTAATTAGGACTTTTTCGAATAGTGCCGAATAATTAATAACGTGATTACTATTTATTTTTATAGAATTGTGATGATGATTAACCAATAAGTTAACATCTGGAAATAAAATTAACACATAGCCTAATGAGGTTCAAATAATTAGCGGTTCTATTAAATAAGTTGATGGTTAAAAGCAAGGATAAGTGTATTTATACTGTTATCACGAGTGCTCGCTTTACTCTAAAAAGTGGGAAATTTATCGTAATATAAAAATTCCATAAAATTTTCTTAAGTATTGCTACCCAATGTGCACTACTTTTTTTGTTTTAATTAATACTCAGTCGTGATTGATAGAATTAAAATAACGATTTTAAGATTCAATTATAATAGTGTTTTGAAACCACATAATGTTATTAACACATATTCAGGGAAACCGGTTATTATTTCTAACTACCTATCAGTAATTTCCATTATTAGGATTATGTGAAAGGTGTTTTTTTGATATTTCGGGCACCCATACATCTAAGGCTTTCGACATAACCTACGTACTGACAACTACAATTTGAAAACAATGAATCATTTAACTCGTAAAGGTGAATTAATAATACCAATAATGGGTATTCGGTTATATTTGATCTAGTGTTCTAGTGGACCGTTCAAGGTGTTACCAATTATTTCTAAACTAATGAGTTTTAGCGATCTCTTTGTTTGCCATGGTCCTGGACCAGACGGATACCTAAATAATTATTTTGCATTGCAAACTATAAATGCATAAGAAGACATTATATTATCTGGTCGACACCTTATAAATGTGTTACCTCTTGATTCATAACCTAATAAACGAAATAAGTATATTAAAACATAAATTGGGAACATTTTTATTCCATATTTATGTCTATATTGAAAATTCAAACTCCTTAGAGACATATAAAAACATACAATTTTTTTAGAACAAGAATGAAAAGCAGTATACAAATCATATTAATTATCTACAACTTGTTTTTAGTTAATATTTAATACAGTAGAATCCGCTTATAATGACATCGAAAGGAAATGACAAACACGTCGTACCTACTAAGCGGGCGTCATACAAAGCACAGCCTTAGAAAATAAAGGACTATTTTGCTTAGTTATTTAGTTTAATAGAGAGAAAAACTATAAATTGTATATAT